CCAACGGTTGGGGACCCCAGAATGTGCATTGGGTTACTGCTGGAATCTAACCACTAAAACAGCATAGCTTGCCTTTGAGAGCATTGTCTGGCATGCTTTCCCGCTGCTTTTCCAGGTAGGACCACCCAACCCATTAGGACTTTGGCTTGGGTTAACAGGAGCTAAATGGGAAGAATCCCTGCACCCAGTGACTGGTCTGCCCTTCCAAGTCCTGCCGATGAACCAGGCTAGCTGTGCCATTGCCAAACAGGTCACCTTGTAGCCAGATCAGCTCCAAGGAGACCTTGCTTACCTCCACTCACCCCCCACTCCCGAGGACTAGACTAAGTGGGTCAGTTAGAGAAAACAACTAATGCAGACTTGATGGACTGAAGAGTATGTTTTATTACTGACATTCATTGATTTTATGAATTATAAATGTATTTGTGTCAACGATAAGTGCCATCATGTTATGAAAGTGTACTGTACTGCCTTAATTTCCTACCATGTCTGGGTGCAGGAGGCAGCGGGCATGATAAATAAATAAAGACTTGTGCTCATGTAAAATGTAGAAGAAGCTGCTCATTCTTTCCTTGCTTTTTCTCTCCCTGCCTTCTCCACTTATTATTGGAGCAAACAATGTTGCTCCTAATGGACCCACATAACATGTGGGCAAAAACACTCGCATCAGCCCACTCTCGAACAATGAAAGGCTGTTAATTGTTGTCTCCCAATAAGGAGCATTTGGAAATTAGCTACTACAAAAGGAGATTCTTCGAATACATTGCGCTCATTTAGCACATTTCACACAGATGGACGACTAAAAGTGCTCCACAGAGATAGAGTGGGGGCAGGTCAAAGACCCTCACCTTGTGACAGCTACCAGTACATGTACGCTTGCTTTGACTCTCCACTTTCAAATCCCGCCGAACGACCTTCCTTTTTGATCGTGTTTACAGTCACCTCCCCCCTCCCTCTCCTCCTGGCTCAGGGTCAGACTCCATCACTGTCAAGCGCTCCGGGACTCTACCAAATCAGCTCCAAGGAGACCTTGCTTACCTTCTCCCAACCCCCCACCCATGTGTGAAGGGTGCTACATAAATGAAAGTTGTTATTGCTGTTGAATTGCTCCTGGAGTGGTAAGCAGGGTCTTCTCGGCGCTAACCTGGCTCTGAGATGACATATTTGGCAACGGAATGTCAGAACGGAGCCAGCCCTCTGTGGCGGACTCAATAGTCCAGTTCCTGAGCAATGCAGGTCTGTAGTACTCTAGCGCACTGCTGATTATGGCACAGACAGCCTGGCTCATCAGCAGGACCTGGAAGGGCAGACCAGTCACTGGGGCTGGGAGTCATCCCACTCAGCTCCTGTTAACCTCCAACGCAAAGTCCTAATAGATAGGTAGGGTGGTCCTTGCTAGGCAAGCAAAGGGAAAGCTTGCCAGACAGTGATATCAATGGCAAGCTATACAGCGTTAGCTGGTTAGACTCCAGCCGTACCCCAATGCACGGGTACTGAAGCCTTGGCTCTCGCCAACCTGCGCCTAATACTTTCCGGAATTAGGTAAGCAGATTGCGTCCCTCCAGGGAGAGAGAGCGCAGTCCATTCCAACAATCTATCTCTGGGATTTCCGTGTGGGTGGGATGCGTGGAATTCTCAGTTTGGTTTGAATACTCTTAAGCACAGGGATAGATTTCCGCATGTGTCCGACCCAAAAAAATATCAAATTGCTCAAGGGCTCCTTTAGACTGAATCAATGCAAACATATGACGATAAATAAACCCTTTGGACTTTCAAAATATTTCCACAATTCTGAGCACATTTCAATCAGGTGAAAAAAAACAGTAAAAGCATTGTTGACAGAAAGTGGTGAAGGAAAGCCGGAAAAAACACCAGACCGGGAAAAGAATGATAGTGTTATTCAGGTCCACAAATGACACTTGTTGTGCTAGATTTTGCAAAAGCAAGAGATGAACATCTGGAGAGCAGAAGTAGAGTGAGGGTCAGTCCCTTCCCACACATGTCTGACTGAGTCACAGCTGTACGCACTGAGGGTGAGACTGTTAGCAAAGGAGATCAGGAAGAGGCCAGGAATTATTGAAATATCAAAAGAAGGAATCAGAGAATGTCAAGCCACAAACAGTTGGCTGCACTTTCGCCTCGGAGTGAGAAGGTTGTGAGTCAAGCCCCATGTTGGGACTTCAAACTCATATAGTCTAGGCTGACACTCCAGTGCAATGCTGGGGTGTGTTGCAGGATTGATGTGCCGTAGCTCGTATGACACGTTAAGTCAAAGTCCCGCCTATCTGTTCACATGGACGTTAAACTACTTGAAAAAAGAGATTTCTCCCAGTGCCCTGGCCAACATTCCCCAAATAAAATTGGTCATTTAAAAGAAAAACTCTCTTTACCATGGGATCTTTAACATCCACCTGAATAGGCAGATGTCTCCCTTGGTTTGGTGTCTCACCCAAAGGATGGCACTTCTAATATCAGCCTTGACTGTGAGCTCAAAGTCCTGACAATGAGGCTTGAACCCACAAGCTGTGTTATTGTCTGCCCGTGGATGGGGCGTTCAGTCCTGATGCGCAGAACACCACCGTTACTCAATGCATGTGATATGACTTTGAATACCCTATTCCTCCCCGCTTATCTCAGTAACCTTCACATCAGCAATGCTTCAGAAGTGAATGGTTAAGTGTGCTGCTTGTCAAATGCTTGAGTTTCTCCAGAGTACTGTGTAAAGATTCAACTGACAGATCGCTGGATGAAAGCCAGTCCGTTCTAAGTTCTGCCTCCACATATTGTTAAAGGGACTAACATGTGAAACACACTCATTACATCTGGCAAAAGGCACACGGTAAAGCATTTCTGACTGTCACTCTCTTCCTTTATACCTGGGAGGCAAACACAAAAATGTAGCGAATGACCAATTTTATTTGGGGGAATTGTTGGCTAGGACACAGGGAGAGAGAAACTTCCTTCTCTTCTTGAATAGTGTCATAGGATCTTTTGAGTTCACCTGAAAAGGCAGCCAGAACCTTGGTTTAATGTCTCATCCAAAGGATGGAACTTCTGGCAATGCAGCAGCACTCCCAGCACTGTTTTGGAGAGTCAGCCAAGACTATCTATGTTCCATTCCCGGTTTGCTTTCCGGGGATAATAGTCCCTCCAGAAAAACATATGGTCACTCAATCCACCACTGCTGGTGGGACACTGCTGTGTGCAATTGGCTACTGCGTTTCGCTCTCAAAATACACAGTAACTACACTTTACAGTATATCCTGAGACGTCTCAACGATGTGATAAGGCGCTATATCAAACGCAAATGCAAGGATTATATCTGAAAAGGGGCAGAGGGGTTCTCAGTTTAATGTCTTATATGAAAGTAGGCAATTCTGACAATGGAACACTACCTGAGGAACGTCAGCCTGGACTAGGAGCTGAACTCTTATAGTCCAGTCTTACTGTTGTGGTGGTGGAGGAAATGTTAGATTTTTTCACTGTAAGCACTCTAAAGTCAGGTACAGTAACCAAACACAGAGGAACATTCCCTGGGTTCTGCTCTGACGACTTCTCCTCTCCCCTCTCAATTCGTTAATGACAAATTATGCAATTGGAATCTAACAGACTATTTAACATTTTAGCTCCTTCCCTCCCCTCTTTCCAGATGCATCTCAAAACATATCTCTTTGACCGCGCCCTTTTAATCATCTTTCCCCTCTTTACCTCGTTACTTAACTCCCATCCTCATCTCTGGTGCCCAGCTAAGATTATGAAGTGCTTTTGGAAAAAAAATACTTACATTTTGTCTAGCACTGTCCCTCGTCTACTCTACCGTTAGCTGGCGACTTTTGCTGACCTCAAAGTGATTGGGAGGGGGCCTTCAAACAAAGGTAGTGTTCCTTCAAACAAAGATTAGATAGTTTTCTTTTTGGAAATAACATTATGGGATATAGGTAGTTCGGGACATATGTGCATATAACCTCCAGGCAGGTGGAAGGCGAACTAGATGGACTTTCGTCATTGTTTCATTTAGTATTTCTTATGTGCTTATGTTCTCCCCTGACCCCTTCACTGGCTCCACCACTGTCTTTTATTGTGTCTTTGGTCACCTCCCCTCTCTCCCTGGTTTGTCGCCAACCTCCCCCACTATTAAGCACTCTGAGATGCTGCTCTTTATAGAGTGCGCTATGTAAATGCAAATTGTTGTTGGTGTTTCACGTCTCAAAGCACTTCAAAGGATATAGCGCAAAGTGGAGTGACGGTGCTTGTGTGTGCAAAAGGCTCCATATAAGTGTATATTGTATTGTCTTGCAAATAACAATAAGCCTTGTGTTTGATATAGCGTCTTATGACATCGTTGAGATGTCTCAAAACGCTTTACAGAATATACTGTAAAGTGGATTGATTGTGTATTTTGTGGACAAATTGCAGCAGCGCACAGCAATGTCTCACAAACAGTCGTGACCAAGTTGTTTTTTTGGAGGGATTATTACCCCCTGGAAAGCGATCCGCCAATCAACTAACAACTGGGTTCCTACTTACTGCCAGGTAAACAGAGGCGTGTGGAGTAAGGAAACCTGCCTAAGGTTTCGCCCTGCCGGGAATCGAACCCGGGACCTCTCGCTTGCGAGGCAGGGAAGAACGCATTATAAGTCTTACACTTACCTTCGTTGCCCCTCCACTCCCGGAAGATACTGGCATCTAAAGATGTGGGGGGAGCAAGTGATTGAAAGATGTTTGTAATAAATAATAATAATAATAATAATAACAGTAAAGTGGCTAATATTTAGCATCTGTTGGCAGAATGTACTCTGTGGCATTCACTGCTTTTCCAGGGGATTATAGACAAACTTTGTGTGTGTGAAATTACTACCAAACATAGTAGATCACAGCTGCTGACATACCAAGTTTGCAACATTGCCATTAACACTAACTGGCCCAGCCTCAGAATAAAATGATTCAGCTGATGTCACGCATTTCACAAGTGCCTCCCTCTGTGCACCACAGTCTGGACTCTCTTTCTGGGGCAGGTTTGTTTCTGTTTCACTGATCCAACCTTGTGAGAGGGTGGAGGGAGAGATCTGTCCTGGAGAGACACAGACAGAGAGACACAGACAGAGGGACAACTCAGTTGCAAGAGGTCGGGGATCATTGAATGAAAGGACTCTTATACAAACACACAGGTGGTGGAGTGGGGCACAAGTTCTCTCAGCAGGAATGGCAAGCAGCTGATCACTGACTGTAAGTATAGCACTGAACACTGCAACACAGCCTCACACACTGTCTGCCTTGGCTTCAGTACTTAGCTCTGGAGCTGCTATCATTTCAGACAAGTTCATCAAAGTGCTGTGATATTTCCCTAAGGCACAGTTTCGAATAATAGGATTTAATGAATGAACTTTCCCTTTTTTTAAAACACACACACACACACACACTGCATTCAATACACATAATGTGTGCAAAAAGGGGAAGTTTGAATACTAAACACCGAACAAAGACACACACAAACACAACAACTTGGAAGTTCCCCTTTTGCCGGATTTGTGCAAACAAATTTTAAATGGATTTTTCTTCCCAGTGAAAGGGTGAGAATGAAGCAATGTGCAGCGCTTCTTCAGGATGAAGTATTGGTGAGGTTTATAATAATATTAATCGTTGCATTTGATATAGAGTCTCATCACCTCGTTGAGACGTCTCAAAGCACTTCACATGATATACCGTAAAGTGGAATGACTGTGTATTTCGTGGACGAAACGTGGTTTGTTAAGGAGGAAATCTACTGGATTAGCAGGGTTAATGAGCTGGAAGGATTGAAGGATTCTCCCTTTCTCTCTTGCTGGGCATCCAACTCCACCACTGTACAACGATCTGAGACACTGTCCTTCGTAAGACCAGCGCTGTATAAATGTTACTGTTGTTTTAAGAATGTAGGAATAATACAAATAATCCTTGCATTTGATATAGATAGCACCTTATCATGTCATTGAGACATCTCAAAGCTCTTGACAGACTATATTGTAAAGTGGATTGACTGTGTATTTTCGAGCGATCAAATTATTATTAATTTTTTAAAGGGATTATTATTCCGGGAAAGTGATCCCGAATCAACTAATTCCCTCCTTGGGGTAAGCGGGGTGTCAGATAAGCTGAATTGGTTCCAAGGTGACCTGCTTGGCAACAGAGTGTCGGAATCGAGCCTTTAGTGGTCTCGGTAGTCCGGTTCCTGAGCCAGGCGGGTCCGCAGTATTCCAGGGCCTATTAATGACAGCACAGCCAGCCTGGCTCATCGGCAGGACCTGGAAGGGCAGACGTGTCACTGGGGGCAGGGAGTCATCCCACTCAGCTCCTGTTAATTCTATAAGGAGTCCTGTAGCTCAGTGGTTAGAGCACTCGCTTTGCAAGTGAGAGACCTGAGTTCAATTCCAGGCAGAGGGCGAAACCTTGCATTTGATATAGCACCTCATCACATATCTTCACAGAATGTACTGAAAACTGAATTGACTCTATATTTTGCGGACAAAATGCGGCAGCCAATTGCACACAGCAGTGTCCCACAAACAGTTGTGGATTGAGTGATCACATTTTTAAAAATTAATTATTTATTTTTTGAAGGGATTATTATCCCCGGAAAACCGATCTATCAATCGACTAACAACCAGATTCCTACTTACTGCTGAGTTAACGGAGGCGCATGGAGTAAGGAAACTTGCCTAACATTTTGCCCTGCCCGGGAATCGAATCTCGGTCCTCTCGTTTGAGAGGCGAGTACTGTAACCAATACTCTACAGGACTCCACGATAGAGAGACGGAGTCAGAAAGGAAGGAAGGAAGGAAGGGAAAGAAAGGAAAGAAATAGAGAAAGAAAGAAATAGAGAAAGTGGCAGAGAGAAGGAAACTTTGGCACAGTGTTATACCACAGTGACAGCATAACTCTTAAAGGAATTTTTTTAAGTCAGTGTAGCCATTTTGTAGTTTGCGTGTTGATCCATTATTTGCACTGTTTGCTTATCTGCAATCGGATGGGTCACCTTCTCCCTCGCTCGACCTTGGGTTCCGCCATTGTTAAGCGCTCTGAGACACTGCCCGGAGTGGAGGGCGCTATATAAATGCTGTTGTTGTTGTTGTTGTATTTACTGTCTTAAAATAAAAATTGAAGTTGTTTAAAAAAAGAAAGTTTCTGTGCATGGGCACATTGAGGGTGCACTTCTGGAGCTGCTCTGCTAGAAATGGCATGTTTAGACAATGCCTGAATCTGTGCTGGACCAAGTCTCCATTATACTTCACTATTTTTTGGCTGCATAATAACTCCTATTGGGAGACGTCTGCATTCAGGTCTGACCTCCGATGTAATTGAGCTACCAGGAGAGACACCGAATTCTGGCCCTTGTTGATTAAAGTTATAGGCGACTCAAGCTTAAAACTGAGGCTCTTGTGCTTGGCTCCCGTCAGTGCCTTCTCACATCAGGCACTGACAGCATCAACAACAACAACAACAAGATTGCATTTACAGAGCACCTTTCACGTCGGGAGGACGTCCCAAGGCGCTGGACAGTTGGGTCGGGACCCGAGCAGGGGGGAAATGGTCAGGGTGAGGGGAGGGAAGGGAGGGAGCGAGGAGGGGGAAGAGAGTCGAGAGGGGAGCTGAAGGCACAGTTGAAGAGAAAGGTCTTGACACCGGCCTTGAAGAAGGGAAGGGAGGAGGCGGCGAAAGCACTGGGGGATGGAGTTCCAGAGCCTCGGGGCTGAGAGGCTGAAAGCCCGGCCACCGATGGTAGGGCGGTTGGGGCGGGGGATGTGGAGCAGACCGGAGCCAGAGGAACGGAGGGTATGGGCAGGTAAGTAGGGAGATAGTAGGTCGGAGAGGTCGGAGGGAGCAAGGTCGTGAATGGCCTTGTAGGTGAGGATGAGGATGTTGAATTCGATCCTCTGAGGGATGGGGAGCCAGTGGAGGCGAGCGAGGTTGGGAGTGATGTGGTCCCGAAGCCTGATGCGGGTCAGTACACGAGCTGCAGAGTTTTGAGAGTTCCCATAGTCCAGCCTTGAGGTGACAAAGGCGTGGACCAGTGTTTTAGCAGCGTGAGGGTTGAGGTAGTGCCGTAGTCTGGTGATGTTCCGGAGGTGGTGGAAGGCGGTGCCAGTTATGGCGCGGATATGCGGGAGAAAGGACAGCTCAGGGTCGAACAAAACACCGAGGTTCCTGATTGGCTTTGAGAGGTGGAGAGTGCAGCCTTGGATGATTGTCAGATGCTGTCAGCACCTGAGGTGCGGAGGCACTGACCCGAGCCTCAGTTTTACGCACGTTGAGCTGAAGAAAGTTGTCTCTCGTCCAGGACTCGATGTCGGACAGGCAGCTGTCAGGACATCGGTGGTCGTGGAGTTGAGGGTAGAAGAGGAAAGGTAGAGTTGGGTGTCATCCGCATACATGTGGAAGTTAACCCCATGTGTGCGGATGACGTCACCGAGGGGGAGCATATAGAGGGTGATCTTCATGGATGCACACTCTGCCTTGCGAAGCGAGTCCGGAACCCTGGTGTCTTGGCTGACCTCCACCACCTGTCGTTCAAACCTCACGTTTGTACTGTAAAATCCCTGACTGTCCAGCGCCTTGGGATGTCCTCCCGACGTGAAGGTGCTATACAAATGCAATTTGTTGTTGTTGTTGTTGCTGTTGTCACCTCTGAGCTTTATCTCACTTCTGCAATATGGAAGTCCTCCCGGACATCCTCCCAACGTGAAAGGCGCTCTATAAATGGAATCTTGTTGTTGTGTTGTTGTTGTATGTCGTCGTCCCCCCAGACTTGATTATGCCAACGATCTGCTTATGGATTCCCAGTTCTTCTCTGCTTAGGCTAAAGACTATCCAGAACTCTGCAGCCTGTGTCCTATCCCAAACCAGCTCCGACAGCCCATCACCCTCTTTGTTGCTTGGCTCCACTGGTTTCCCATCCCCCAGCAGAATGAGTTCAAGATCCCGTTTCTCATATTTAATTCTCTCCATGGTCTCACCCACCCTACCTCTACGACCTCCTTTACGTATACCAACCTGCCCATTCCCTTTGCTTGGCCAACACTGGCTGATTCACCCTCTATCCACCCCACCATTGGCGGGCAGGCTTTCCGCTCTTGCCATCCGCTCTCTGGAACTCCATCCCAGATCCCTCTCACTTGCTCCCTCCCTCCTTTCTTTCAAGTTATGTCTCAAAATGTACCTCTCTGACTGTGCTTTTGGTCAACCTTCCTCTTCTCAACCCCCTTAGCTCTAACACTCAGCTCTGTGGCCCAGCCAGAATCGTCAAGAGCTTTGGGACATCTTCCTGACGTAAAAATTATTATATGAGTCAGGTATCAGCCTGGCTCAGTCGGTAGCACTCTCGCCCTTGAGTCAGAAAGTTGTGGATTCTAAGCAAACCTTTCTTTGTCCAGCGCCTTGGAACGTCCTCCCGATGTGAAGGATACTATGTAAATGCAAATTGTTGTTATCAAATAAAAGGATTTTAAAAAATCCTATTGGGCACTTTGAGGCGTTTTAACAACGTGATAACAACAACAACAAGATTATTATAAGATTACATTTGTATCGAGAGCTTTATCAAAAAACATTTTATGTGAATAAAGATAATTTATTTCAGAGGCTACTTTGCAAACCTCCTACTTATCACTGAAAATATTTCTCACTGTTGCAAATTTCAACTTCAGTTAGTCACTTCCTGCCAACATTCTTGAAATATTTACATTTAAATGAAACAACAACAGAATTCAAATGAGAAAGAACAAATGTGCCTAGATGGTGAAAACACTTCAATTACCTAAAAACGCACAGTTCTTGCCAATAGGGGGTAGGGGTGAGAGAAGGCATGACCTTCGAGTCACCCTCCTCATTACATCATGCCAAGCCGCTTCACGGGCAAATGTGCTCAAATGCTTTGACTTATTTTAGGCAAACTTAGCAGTCGTCTGCGTTCACAAATTCCTACAAACAGCAAGAATGTGACCCATTTTTGGCCAAATTCAAACTAGTTTATCTTCGAATAATATCATGGGATCTTTAACTTCTATGTGAACATTCAGAAAGGACCTTAGTTTAATATTTCATCAGAAAGACATGCCTCCCAACAATGCAGTGGAGCAACAGCCTAGTCACTTAGCTCAAGTCCTGAACGTAGAACCTTTTGACACTGAGGCAAGAATCCTAACAACTAAGCACATTGGGCCATAACCAAACCTATTTAATTATTCCTTGG